ACCAAAACTCTGGCTTGCATCCATAGATGCTTCTCAAGCAAATCCCGGGACGTCATTCTCCCCCTGTACTCGGCCCTAGTGAGGCCGCAGCTGGAGTACTGCGTCCAGTTCTGGGCTCCACAATTCAAAAAGGATGTGGAAAAGCTTGAGAGAGTGCAGAGAAGAGCCACGCGCATGCTCAGAGGTCAGGGAAGCAGACCCTACGAGGGCTGGCTGAGAGCCCTGGGGCTCTTTAGCCTGGAGAAGCGCAGGCTCAGGGGTGATCTGATGGCCACCTACAAGTTTATCAGGGGTGACCACCAGTATCTGGGGGAACGTTTGCTCACCAGAGCGCCCCAAGGGATGACGAGGTCGAATGGTCACAAACTACTTCAAGATCGTTTCAGGCTGGACACAAGGAAGAATTTCTTTACTGTCCGAGCCCCCAAGGTCTGGAACAGCCTGCCGCCGGAGGTGGTTCAAGCGCCTTCAAGAACACCTTCAAGATGAAACTGGATGCTTATCTTGCTGGGATCCTATGACCCCAGCTGACTTCCTGCCCTTTGGGCAGGGGGCTGGACTCGATGATCTTCCGAGGTCCCTTCCAGCCCTGATGTCTATGAAAGTAGCACTTCATTTTAATCACGGAAAAATGCTGACTTTGCAGGTTACAACTGGAGAAAGTTGGCTCTTATCAGAGAAACTGATTTTTAAACAGAAAACCAGGATGCCTGCTGATTCCGGTTAAAAAACACCATAACCCACCACTGATTCCTGTTAAAAAAGCAAGCAGAGCCCCAGAACATGCAAGTTACAGCTTTCATATTACTTATGGCAAGAGATTTTTCCAGACAAACATATTAGAACAATAACTATTTGAATTGCATATCCCGACAGGTGGATAATTTAGACTAGACAGCAAAGGGAACACACACTGTGAACAAGGCTAATCGTATCCTCACCTCAACTCTTTGTTTGTGGGTCTTGGAAGCCTTCTTCAGGATTCTTTCCATTTGCTGAGAAAGTGAAAACAGACACAGGTCGCTGTCATGCTAGCTCCTTTCACCGCAACGAAACACCTCCTTTTTAACCTGCACTGTCTTTTCGGGGAAGTAACCTGGGTCAGGGCCGCTGCGAGTGCGCAGCTCCGACTCCCGCAGAGCGCGGACTCGTGCGGGCGGGCCGGGGCTCTGCGGGCTCGCCCACCCACCCGACCCGGGCCCCGCCGCTCGGTGTCGGCAGCAGGAGC